TCAATCCTGAATGCCCTAACACCCTTGCCCATCATTCTTCAGAGCATGTGTTGTATGACCTAATAGTCATCAAAAACTCCATAAATGGCTTTACTCGAATGATGATGGTGTGCATTCTAGTTTAATACAACCTCGAGCTACCTTTTTGGGCAAGGACAGTATAAAAAGGAAAGAAGTAATCTCTCTAAGAATACTGCAGTTGCCAACAAAAAGGAAAAATACTTTATACAAACCCTGAAAATTTGTGGGTTTTAAAAATCTCATTGAAGAAGTTACACATTTCACTTACTGCTGTTGCTCAATAAAAATAAATTCTTGTAGAAAAACTTGCCCATAAATGAGACAGTTGAACAGAAAGACTTATGTCCCTATGAATTATAGTTCCGGACTGCTTATACTCTGCCTTAAAGCTGTGTATTCTTTCTCTGTACTTGTGCAATGCAATTATATTAGAAGGCCCTCTTAAAACTGGGTGATCTATTGGTTTAGGGAGCTAAAGATTGATTCCAGATGTAGTCCTGCTCTTCTAGCCCTTCAAAAAGTAACTACTGCGCCATCTGTTTTGTAATAGACAATTTCAAAGAGTGCCAAGGGAAATGTTAAATACATTGGTCAAACGGCCACATATACCTCACACACAGGAATCCTAGAGGTCACAGTGTCTCAGACAGATTCATATTTTCAAGTTTTTCCCTCAAATGTTCCACTATGGAAACTGAAGAAACAGCTCTCCTTCCTTCCAAAACAGGAAGATATTTTCCAGATTATTACCAGTGTTGACATGTATGATGCCAAATTCAGACCTGAATTCAGTGGAATTACTGGAATTCACAGTGACATCTCTCCTGTACCTGCTTGACTTCTGGATCCTTGTAGATTATTCCAAATTACTTTCGGGGTTGTTCGGGTTTGGGGTTTTTTTGGAGGGGTTAGGGTGTTTGTTTTTCCCTTCTTCTCCTTTGGTTTTGTTTTGGGGGGTTTTTTCTTCGTTTTTTTTTTTTTGGTTTTTTTTTTGGTTTTTTGTTTTTCTCAAATGAACTCAGTAGCAAAAATGTAATACTAAAATGACTTCAGATTTGGCTGGTTGTCCAAGGAATATGAAGGGTGTGTGAGGTAATGAAGGGTTATTCCATGTCATGAGCGATAATTTTTCTTTTCCCTAGTTATTTCAGGACGCTTGAAGTAAAGGAATTTTCTTTGTTCTTCTAAATAATGTCTTATGCATCAGCATCTCAAAAAAAAAAAAGCACTCAGGTCTGACATCAACATGGCCTAAATTCTTCGCAACAACAAAACTGGAGTAAAAAATATTCTCTGAAGATTTCCCAAGTATAAATCTGAACTTCAGAGCAGCAACTCATGATTTATACCAAACAGTCCTGAGAAAATGTTTAAAATGAAAACAAAAGGAAACAGAAAATCTGCTAGAAATTAGAGAATCACAGTCTTGTGCAGTCCTAGAGAGACTTTTTTTTTTTTTTCTGCAGCAACATTAGGTAAATCATTGGTGAAAAGAATTAAAGATTAACAGCATGTCTCCAGTTCAATCCTCTTTGGTTTTCCCAGTGCATCCAGTCATATTTTATACCAATTCTTGTACTAAGTTGTTACAAAATTAACTTAGGACTAGCAGACAGAGTGGTTCACTTATTTAAGTATTGCTGACTTTGTTGTGGCTCTCTCTATTCAACATCACATGCAGAATTAGTGCTTTAGACTGTAAGCAGAGTGTCTGGGTGTATCCTAGCTACATCTAGAAGTTCAAAGTTTCCTGATGGTAAGTAAAAAAGAAATTAGTAGGTAAAACATCCCTATCTAGAATATTCCTTAGAACTAAATTTCTTTGGCTGCTATTTGGGAAGTGTAAGGATATCCCACATATACAGGAAAATTTGAATTTTCAGTATTAAACAACAATTATTGAAACAAAGAAAGGTTATGAAGTGGAATAAGAAACACCTGTTTTGGAGGACATCATAACATAACTTTTTTGAAATTGAAGACATCTGAAAGAAATAAATTCTGAAAATGTACATACACTACATTCTGGCTAATGTACATATTGGCATGAGAGAATACATACACACCTTTCTGCTGCAGCAAAGGCCCCTTTACTTAGGACAAGATTTAATTGAAAATAATAGACTCAAGAAGTAACAGAACAAGATATTATAAATTGCAGATACCCATATTCCAACCCAAAAGGTCCAAGAAGAAAATGGTGCCTGAAAAAAGGACACAGAACAGGAAATATTTTAAGGGAATATGATATAGACCTAGTCTATATAATGATGGATAGTTTTGAATCCTGGTCTTTACAGAGCTAGCATATCTCCTCCAGAGCTACAAAATTATCTCTTATTTAATTTTAGGTACGTATCTATACTCTCCCCCCCAAAACACCAAACAAGCCAAAGAACCAAACAATCAAACAAGATCAATCTGGATAAAATTCATTCTTGCAAACCAAGCAGTGTAGTTGTCCCACCTCTTGCTGAGGCTGATGTTCCTGGAAGAAAAGACTTCCAGAATAAAGAGGTATTTAGGGAGAAATTTGTTTTAGCCACTAATACTACAACTCATCTTAATTCCTGGTTTTGATTAAGAACTTTTAACTGCTTCTTAGCTGTTCAAGAACATAGATAAGGGACCATAAGAGTCACAAATCATACACTATTCCTCTGCTTCCTAGGCACATAATCTGCCTTTAACTAAATCATTACAATGCAGAGCTGAAGACTGATCCATCCTTTGAAAAATACTCAAGAATTGGTTTAGGTGAGTTATTTCTTCAACATCAAAGAAAAAAAATCCAGAAATTCACTGTCAGTAACCCATCTCTCCTTATCCAAAGTTGTCTTAACCCTAAAGGTACAGATAAATTCTTCAAAGCTCACTGTTTTCTGGGCTGAGAGGCTAATTTTCTCCAGCTGAGGCCAGTACTCCTCCACTTCACTCTAAGAACACCTACTATGGTACACCTCTTGCTTGGAAAAAATGTGCCAGCCACTTGCTGGCTACTGGCTGGGTCACACACACCATGTCAAAGTGATCTATTCCATCTAAGATGTATAGATCCAAAATTACTCAGCCCAGAGAAAAAAAGAAAGCAATTATTTTGTTCACTTGACGCATGCTGTGTTTAGGAGAGTTCAATTTGTAACACTAGTTAATCATTCACAAAAGAACACAGTTTTAAAAAGTAACTTATTTGTTCCTCGCAGCAGAGGATTAAGACACAATGTACTGAATAACTGGTGCAACACAATTGCTCTGCAAAAATGATTGTATTTCTATCACACACTTTTTGGAAAACGTAATCACTTTGACTTTCATTGTTTTTGTAACTCAGAGGCAAGAATTACTACGCAGAAAAGTCTGCTTCATTTCTCAGCCATCTTTTTAGTTCTTTGAGTTTCTTAGTTTGTTTTTTTTTTTTTTTTTTTTTTTGTGGTGGTGGTTTCTTGGGGGTTTTTGTTTGTTAGGTTGGGGGGGTTTTGTTTGGTTTTTTTTTGGTTTTTTTGCCTTTTTTTACTAACAGTGTTGCATCCAGGAAGGACTGATGTTCTTGTCCAGAGAAGGGCAACAGAGCTGGTGATGAGTCTGGAGTACAAGTGCTGTGAGGAGCAGCTGAGGGAGCTGGGGGTGTTTGTCCTGGAGAAAAGGAGGCTCAGGGGGGACCTTATCACTCTCTACAGCTGCCTGGAAGGAAGCTGTGGCCAGGTGGGCTCAGTCTATTCTCCCAAGTAACAAGCAACAGAACAAGAGCAGATGGCCTCAAGTTGCACCAGGGGAGATTTAGTTTTCATATGAAGAGCAATTCACTGAAAGGGTGGTCAGGCATTGGAACAGGCTGCTTAGGAAAGTGGTAGAATCACAGGCCCCAGAAGGGTTAAAAAAACCTGTGGATATGGCAGTCAGGGATATGGACTAGTGGTGAACACAGTGGTGCTGGGGTAACAACTGGACTCAATGATCTTAGAGGTCTTTTCCAGCCTTAACAATTTAATGACCACCAGCGCAAATCACAATTACTGCCCATAAACTCTATGGCACTGATGGTAGGAGAAATGGGTGTCCATGCCTTTACAAACAACTAGATAACGTGAAAGAACCAATCAGGTTCTGGAAGAATGGGTGTGGGGGTACATGCTGGAGGGGAGCTATGTAGAGTATGCGGATCTCTTAAAGGTTGTATCTTCCTAGTACCTCACCCTACAAAAAAGCAGGAGTGTGCTTAGAATAAATGGAGGCTGTGTCTGCTAAAAACTGGAGAGATCCTAGATGGTTATGCCCCAGTGGGATCTCCCTAGTTTTCAGCAGAGTTTGTTATTGCAGGACTTCTCTGTCTCATTGTGGATCCTGGGCGTTGCCAGAGATTTTCTCCACACTGCTAATGGCTGTGGACTTACCCCTGGTTTGTCTGCCTGGAGGAGCTCCTCCATTACTGCTGTGAGGTTACGAGTGTCACCAGACAAACACTACAGAAATAACCCTGGCCACCCACAAGGACAACTTTTGGCACACAGTTATGCCGTGTGGAACAACTGCTGTGGGTCTCTCGGCAGCACTTTCTACACACCCCGTGTCACTCTCCCCTCCCCGGTGAGAGCCAGCGCTCTCCCACCCTGCTCAGTTACTGCAGGCAGAGGTGAAACAGGCCCTAACCCTGAAATCTTGTGTCAGCACTGAAACGGATCCGTGGCTTTTACACGCCAACTCTACCTGTTCTGCGCATTTAGTACATGTTTAACACGTCAGGCTGCGGACGGGTCGTGTTTGCGAACATTTGCAATCCCGGTGCGCGCGGGGCTGCGAGTCCCCTTGAAAATCCGGCTTGTAAAGTGCCGCCCTCAACACTGTACTCTCAGTTTTTGGGCAAAGCCCCGGCATCTCCCGCCTTCGCCACCACCCGAGAGGTGAAGGAACCTGCGGTGCCCGGCCCAACAGGGGGAGCGGGCCTGCGGCGCTCCCGGCCAGGCCGCAGGGGGCGGTCCGGGCCCGGCGCCTCTCGCCCCGGCGCAGGCGCCGCCGTGGGCTCGCGGCGGAGGGCAGCTCGCCCCGGGACGGCGGCTCCATGCGCTGCCAGGTAGGTGCCACCAGCCGGCGACCCTGGGGCCGGTCCGGCCGGAGGCTCGGCCGGTGCCTGGCAGGGCGGCAGGGCTCCCGCTGCCCCTGGCCCCGATGGGCAGCGGGAGCGGCCTGGGCGGCGGACGCGGATCCGCGGTCACTCACCGCCCGCCGCCCTCTCCTCCTTCCCCACCCTGTCCTGACAGCCGGGGTAGGAGAGACGCGGCTGAACCGATCGGCATCGAGATCTCGGCGCTCTGGTTCCGGTCGTGTGCTGGTATTTTGGGAGCGGTGTTCTGGGTAGGCCCCGCGGCCCTGAGCGCTGTCTGTTCCCCGGGCAGGTCTCGGTGCTGTATTTCGCCAGGAGCGCGGAGCTGGCGGGGCTGCGCTGCGAGACCCTCTCGGTGCCACGGGAGATCACCTCTCTCCAGCTCTGGGAGGAGATCGTCAAGGTCCACCCCAGGTATGCAGCAAGTTACCCTTGAGGTACACTTGAGGCACAAAGAAACGTGGATTTGTAAAATTTTTTTTTTGTAATGCAAATTCGGTATTTAGCATTGGACTGGAACACATAGCAGTACTTCAACAGCACAAAACCAATGGTGTTACCTTCTTTTGGTAACCCTAAACACTAAATGTTTTGTACAGCTGGAAGTGTTGTAGCTTTTTGTATACACAAGGAAGGCCCAGGTGCAGGAGATGTACCCAAATCGGGGCCTGAGAGTACACATGGTCCATTGTCCGGGAGGGCTGTGATATGGTAACCTGAAAACTACCATGTTATTGGGCTGTGGAGAGAGTGAGATGTTGCAAGGAGAGATCATGCAGAGCCAGGACAATAAATAAGAAATAAATTATAATATGTAGGTATTTCCAATTGCTTAGGTTAGACATCAGGAAGAAATTCTTCATTGAAAGGATGCAAAGATATTGGAATGAACTACCCAGGGACATGGTGGAGTCACTGTCCTTGAAGTTTTTTAAGGGAAGATTGGACTTTGTGCCATGGTCACAGAGTGCTTTTCAAACTTAATCGATTCTGTGATTAACTGTGCTGTGAGCCATTGGTCTGGGCCTATGGCACACTCTGCAAGGCAGGTCAGGAAGGGAACTGAAGCCCCCAGAGGCTTCCAGCCACTCAGCCTGACACAGCAATTATGGTCAGCCACTTCAATGCTCTGAAACACTGCTGTTTGCATTTCATAAGGAGTCTGGTCCTGAGAAAGTACTGTGTATGCTGTAAGGGTTTCAGCAGCATTGGTGCTCTTGGGAGTGTTAATAGAAATGTCCCCTGTGTTTAAAGCTGAGGGAAGGTGCTCAGTCCTGTCAAGAATGAGTCTGATGGACAAAGGTGGGACACCATTTTGGAGAGATAGAAGGGGGTAAAAAAAAGAGTAAATTATAAAAGAGGTTGTGGTCCTCAGGATTTAGTGCTTAGTGCTCTGGACTTACCATAACTTTGGACTTAGATGTCCAAGTCTTTCTTTAGTAAAATGCTCTCAAACACTGTGAAAAAAAATGAACTGTTTAACATTGGTATCTGTTTCCAAGTGAGAAACTCTTCACAAACCACTGGACCAGGGACCTTTTCCTCACAGAGAATTGAAATAAAGTGTGCTTGGGTGCTAGAGGCAGTAGGGAATGCATATATTTTACTTTGCAGCCTTTTTGTCTATGTCAGAAGCAGCAGCAGCACCGTTGGTCATTTTGCTGTAATTTGTCAACTTTGTCCTTTTATGAATGATGACTTGGGGCAGTTGAATTTTCTGGAAAAACTCAATGTAATTGTAGGGCATTGACCACAGACTTCTATTCACATTGCTAATGGATATTCAAATTACAGTTTGAGCGTACTTGATTGTGCTTTTCTGTTTGACACATTTTCCACAACTAATTAGCTTGCAAGGGACTTTAATTAGAGCCTGCCCTTCTAATAGGCGCTTCAGTTTCATGGCAGTGCACAGTTCTTTAGTGGCTTGCTTTGCTTTCATACAGTCCCTCCCTTCAGTCTGTTCTCTGAATCAGTGCTACTGTGTTTTGCTCAGTCTGTGCCTTGACTACTTTTGTCTATCTAGCTGGTAGGAAACAAGATGATTTTTACTTGTACTCTTTTGGTCTGCTTACTTGTTTCTACGCAATACAGCTGAGCTGGTTTGCCAGATTTTGTGGTCTCAAAGAAGAACTGTTATCATGCCTGTGTCATCTGTGAAGCAAAGTGAAAATTTTCCAAGATAGAAATCCATTTTAATTTAAGTGAAATGTACATTTTTAAGTTAAATCTGTAGTTAGAAACCATAGTTATTTAGCCAGACTGCAAAGCCTAAGCTCAGTGAAGTTACTTCAGTGAAAGACAGAAATAAACAGAAAGAGACAAAAGCTTTTGTATGCAATAGGAGTCAGAGCCTGCTGTAAAGGCAAGTCAACCTGACCTCAAATTTTTTTTCTGATAAAAAAGAACTAGTAGTAAAAGTCAAACAAAACCCATAGAAATGAATATGTATGAACCTATTATGAAACTGTATGCATATGTATTTGAGAAAGAGATAAAGAGAGACCTGAAGTTCTCAAAAGTAAGCATGCCTTTTTTGAAAAGAGCAATTTCCAATGCGTCCAGCGCTGTAATAAACATACCAACTTTACAACTTTGACAAAGTTGTAAAGTTCTCTTCTTTTCTCCGCAAAACATCTGAAGTAAAATGCAATTCTTTTTTCTCCTGTCTTACTACTATGGCCCTCATGCTTGCTATGTAATTGTACTTAGTCATAGAAATGATTCCCTGCCTCATAATATCCAGAGCTATGGATTCTCACAGCAATATCTCAGATAAAAAATTTGTAGAAGATCTGCCAGAAGACACATCACATTTGCTCTCTTAGTTCTGTGGCCATTCCTTATCAATAGGAGGTTTCAGACCTGTAAGTACAAAAGACCCAAAGTCTCACAAAATCTGAGCACGCACAAGAGCAACTCTCTGACTACTGAATTTTCATGAGATCTTATGAACACATACCACAATGCTTCTTGATGCATAAGAAAATTGCTCCAATCCTGCCAGACTGCATCAAGACAGTATTTCCTTCTAATCCCAAATTGGATAGTTGCTGCCTCTTGAGTTACCAACTTTTTTATTGTAAGCTTCTGAAGTAGGTCTGGTATGGATTGGTTTTGTTCTAACATAGGCCTATGACAAATCCAGTTCCTGATTTCTGAAAATTATACTGATCTAATTTCTTTTAAGCCATTACAAGAAAATCCAAGATTAGGAGGTGTGTGTTTATTGTATTTTTGACAGTGTCTTGGAAGTGAAGTTGTGTAAGTCTCAGTGGTTTTTACCTCAGCTGCCCAATACTGGGCACCAGTTTGCTGTTTAATGAAATCTCATGGTTAGATGCAGACATTGTCTGGAAACCTATTTGTGCTCTTTCCAATCCCCCTCAGGCTTGCTCTCATCCGGGATCAAGTGGTGTTTGCTGTTCGGCAGGAGTACGTGCTTCTTGGAGATCAGCTCCTGGTCCTGCAGCCTGGAGACGAGGTTGCCATCATCCCACCAATTAGTGGAGGCTGAACCTGCCCAGGTTCTGTTAGGTAGGTATCACTTACTGCCTACTTTTCTGTGGAGTGTAATCTTGTGCTAAAATACCTCATGAATTCTGTGTGATGTTACAGGAACCTTTTCTTGTTTAGGTCTGAAGATGTGATTGCAGTTCTCTCCCTCCACCCCAGTACTCTTTTGAGAAAACCCAACTTGTGTTTCCGTCTGGTGAGTACAGTGGTGCTGAGCAGAAACTATAAGCCAATGTACCAGTAAATGATTAACTTGTATGCAGTAAATGGAAGACATTTGCCAGAGAGGTCAGGCATTGCTTTGAATCTGGGTTTTAGGTCTTGTTACTCTTTCCTGGTTGTTTCTTCCTACCAGTGGAAACTTAGCTTGCTTAAACAAGATAATAATGAAAAATTTCCTGCCGCTTTTAAACAGAAAAGGTAATAAAGTAAAAATAATTGACTGCTGCTTAGAAGTTTTGTTAGTTTGTGGCTGTTAAAAAGGTATCCTTAGAATAGCTTCATTTCTTTGCCCACTTTGAAGTGCCAGTCCATCTATTCACTGCAGCTTGTTCCATTGCTGCTGATCAAATTACTTCTCATTCCTAGGTGATCAAATGACTGGCTTCTACTCAGATAAATTAGAAGTGTCTTCTGTGTGGCTGTAACAGACTCATAGTATGAGGACCTGAATGTCCTGGAGAGCATAGTCAACTTTAGGATTAGAACTCTAATCCATGTTTATCAGAAATCTTCGTTTTAAACCGTTTGATTTGATGAGATAAATAGGAGGGACTGACAATATCACCACAGATTTACCAGCACTACACAGTGGTGTGTGCTGGTTGAATGTACTGTTGAACCAGGGCCTTGGACTAATTATAGTTTTATCCCACTGTACTAGACTTTCCTATCAGAAAGAAATATGTATGCAATTAAACCAAGTAATTGCTTGTTATTTGCAGTTAATATTCTCTCAGTGAGGCTGCTGAGAAGTGAATTTCACATGTAGACTAGTCTCTTGGGCAAACAGATAGTGTCTTGTGTTGTGCATAAATTGGGGCATGAGCACTGGATAAAAAGCAGTTGGCTGATGCTAGTATCTTCAGGAACAACAACAGAGTCTGTTTGGTTGCAGTTTTTCTATTGTGATATGGAAGAAAACGAAGATGTGCCAAAAGATTTTATCAAGCTCAAGTCTGAAAAGCTCTCTGTAGATGAAGTGTCAGAGCTGGTTGTTTCACCATACTGTGGGGCAGTGTCTCTGTTCATTGGTGAGTTTAATATCTGTGAGCTAAGTCACTAGTTATGTTACTAGTCTAATAAATGTAACTTAGGTTGTCCACATCCCCGACTAGTAGTTCTCAAATAAATCAGTTCTGGGTCTGAGTCCATTATGTTTAGAAAACAGTCTGAATTAGTAGAGCAAGACCATGGCAGCTCTTAAACAGCTGCCATGGGCTAAAGTGGTGTGGAGCTTTCTGGCTGATATGGCTATCATAGGACTGAACAGAACAGTAGCTCTGGAGCAGAAAACTGCCTGGGAGTTGTTCCCCTGTCCCTTGGGATACAACTTGTTCAGGGTAGGAAATGGAGTACTGTGGCTGTGACAACCGCATGTCCACACCTGTGTGTGGGGTTCTGTAACTCAGGTCTCAGTTGAAAGTGAAGTACTATCCTACCAGTGAGCTGGTGAAGGTCAGGCTGATAGCTCTGTATAGTGCTTAATGTATGTGCCACACATATGAAACTGCTTTGTGTTTAAACCTTAGTGCTACTAGGCTCCTAAATACTGGGAATTTAAAAATTATATGGGCAAATGCCATAATAACCTTACATAACCTTACCAGTTACCGCAGAAGATGTCCCAGCCTTGGGTATTGTGGGCTGCAGATCTGTGTAATATGTAAACTAAATTCTCCCTTTTATAGTAAAGATTTATCTTGTTCAAATAATCTCATTATGCACCCATGATTAGGGAAGTTGTTTATATTTGCACAGTGTTGACCTTGACCATAGCAAGAGATCCTGGGCTTTTACTTTGTATTAATGTAGTATATAATGTGTATTATAAAGATACAATATGTATTCATTTGCCCACTGCTTTTAGCTGATAAATCATTTTTGTTTAGGTACTACAAGAAATAATTTTGAAGGAAAAAAAGTGATTCACTTAGAATATGAAGCATATACTTCAATGGCAGAGACTGAAATAAGGAAAATCTGCAGAGATGTTAGAAAGAAATGGCCTTCAGTCAAACATATTGCAGTGCACCACAGACTTGGGTACGTATGACCAGACCCCATTCTTCTGCAACTGGAATATCAGTTCTTGTCTGCTGCATGGCTGTGCTTACATAGTTGCAGAACCCGCAAGAGTGTTTAGAAACCATAGTGCAGCAAAGCTGGCTGCCAGATCAAGCTCTTGCTCTGGAGCTAAGTTTCAAAAATTTTGTTTTCAAAAATGTGTTTATTGGTAGGGTTTACTGGAGTCCACACTTAGCCTGGAAGGATCTTTTGTGCTGATGTGATATTTTGAAAGTGGGGAGATATTTCACTCCAGGGAAGGGGAGGTTGTTAGTTTATTTTGTTCTTTATTTTTTAAAGGTGTGAAGTTGGCAGCATTTTCTTTTTCTCTTCTCTCTCCTGTTGAGGGGCTGCAGAATGTTCTTATTGTCAGATTTTAGTCTATTTATGCTACAAAAAGTCTGGAAGCATAGGCTGTGGGGCATGGTAATTGCCAGCCATGCTTGTGAGAGAGCCTCCTGTTGTTCCTTGAGTCTTCGATAAGCATTTTCCTTTTGATTCAAAACGTGTAATACTAGTGTCTGACATACTCTTAGGCCCTATCAGTTCAGAGAAGATTTCTTGCTAAAACTAGCAGGATTTTCAGAAATCCTGAAGGAATTTGGGATGTGATTGTAAAAGGTAACTAAGATAAAAGGCCTGAGGGGTGGTTTCCCTAGATTTCCTCTATAGTCAGCAGAGGGGGTGGCTGTCACGAGGGCAGGTCAAAGCATTTAGGCTGACATTTCTTCCTACAGACTGGGCTGAAGGAGTCTGACTGTAGAGGGAAGATTGGGGGGCAGATTTTGAGAGTGCTACAACTGCAAGGAGAAACACAGAACCTTGTGCTTCTCTTAAGTTTAACACAGCATACCAAGTAGGAAACTTGAGAATCTAAAATCAGAATTCATCAAAAATTTGGTTTCATTACAAAATCTGCATAGTGTGAGGCAGTTAATTTCTTCTTTCACAAATTCTTATGCAAACTGAGATGATTTCTTAGGTTTTTAGGTAAGAACTGGCTGTTCTAATTTGTTATTGTTCATTATTAAGCCAGCTTCCAATGAGTTTCCTATGCATTGTTACAAGTTAGCAATTTCCCCCTCTTAATTCCATAGGCTTAATTTAAAAAAAAAGAAAGAATAGAAGAAAAAAGCCTCTGTCTGGTGGGTTTATTTATTCTAGAGTGTGGAATTTTAACATCTGGTACTGATTTTGGTTATGGTTTTCTTTCTTTTAAAAAGTGTATAATCTTTTGGATGTGGTTTGACACTTGCTCAGTATGAATGAGTCAGGAGAGCATGTGGCCAGAATACTGACGTGACATGGCTACAACTTTTGGGTGCTCTTGATGTTAAGTGTTAGCTAAAGCTGCTGTTGTTCCTCTTCTCTCCCTAGTGTGGTTCCAATAACTGAAGCAAGTGTAATTATTGCAGTCTCCTCTCCGCACAGAGCAGAATCCCTTGAAGCAGTGATGTACTGCATCAATACCTTAAAAGCATCTGTTCCTATATGGAAAAAGGTATGTTTAGGGACAAAATCAAATTTAGGCCTGTGCTAGTCTTAGACATCTGGGCTGCCTTAGCAGCGTTCCAGGCTGTAGCAGCTGCTCCTGGTGAGTTGTCAGTGTCTGGCACCAGTGAGTTTCCTCTACTGCAGCCAGGCCCATTTGTGGCAGGTAGAGCATGTGGAAGGTTCTCCTGGACCTGTACCATCTAGCTCCTCTTTATTTTGAAACCGTCTTAGAGTGAAAGCGAAGGACGCCTGAGCTGTCCTCTTTTGAGTAGCAAAACTCAGTTCTGCACAGGCTTATGGAAGAATTTGAGTCAGCTTTGCTTTGGACAGCATTGCAGTTTGGAAGTAACAGGAGCATTTCTTGCCTGTCTGTTTGCCCCTCATTGCTGTGGCCATGAGAAAGCACAAAGCACTAAGCAACAGCACACAATGAGCAGAAGTCCCAAAGCTTTATAGGCGCACAACAGTGTGTGGAGAAACCAGCCCAGGTCTAGAAAGTGCCTCATTGTATAAATTCAGTGTTGCATGCGAGTAATGAGCATTATCTCTGCCTCCTCTCCCTGGCAGAACTTGGTATGTGGTTAACAGTGATATTCCACACATTACTTCACTTTTTTGATACCTCCTCAGGAGATGGAAGTTCTCTCAGAATAAATAAGCAGGGACTCAGAATTTGATGCTTAGGACTGGACTGCTGCTGGTAATCCAGTCTGTCCTTAAGATCTATTAGTAATGTATTTAGTGTATTAATGTAATTTTTGTTTTAATATTGACATTTTGTTACATCTAAATTTTTGTCTTAAAACAACGGTACAGTAGGTTAATATAGCAGCATGAATGCTGTGTACTCTACAGCTATTATATAATTTCTTCTAAATCTCTTTGTTGAATTGACTTCAGCTTAGGTGGGCCCTTTTAAATTCAGTGGGGATCAGCCTGGGGTTCAGCCAAGTCCATATGTTCTAAGGGTGCTGCCCTCTCTTCTGCTTGCCAGCCAAGTGCTGTGCAGACCTGATGTGATCAGTAAATGATAGTGGGATGGCTATTCAGTTTGGCCTGGCTTGTAGCTGTATGTAGCAGACTCACAACATTTCCCATTCTTTGTTTATATTACAGGAGATTTATGAGGATGAATATTCTTGGAAAGAAAACAAGGAATGCTTTTGGGCAAATTCAGAAAAATAATTGTACTTCTTTGAAAATAAAGTGTTACTCTTCCTAATGAGCATATTTACCTTTGAGTTTTTACAGCGATTCTCTGTTTCTAAATGGTTCTAACAGATGTTTCAATTTCAATAATTTAGTTTGGACTGAGTGAAATGAATGAGGATAAATTAGGGGTTTTACTGTCCTTTGGAATTGCCTTTGTGTGCATTTTTAACATGGAGTCAGTTTTTAAAAGAATCTTCCCTAAAATTCTTTGTGGCAAGGTTTAGACTACTCTGTGATAAATACTGTTCTAATTCTTTTACCTTGGTAGTCTGTGTTCTCTGTCTGCATGACAGGTCACCACAGGACAATTGCATTTTTTTCAATCTTAAAGTTCAGAGAGGTTTAATTTTATATGACTGCAGACAAAGTTTGCAAACTTTATGCTATTTTGACATTCTTCTAACATGAAAGCTACTTGAAGTAGATAAACTATTTTAGTGCAGACAGAGGAGAAAATACTAACTATACCCCAGAGTTATTAAATTTTTAGTAGTGCTTATTTTCCAGTAGCTCTGTCTCACACATTTTTACTGTGCAGCTGATACTATGAATCCATTGAATTAAACAATATGGATAGGGATTGATACAAAGTTAAAGCTAGTACTCTACCAGCAAAAAGAATTGCATTAGCAATAAAATGCCAATCTGTAACTACTTAATGATGTGTAGACAAAATTTTGAAGTGACTTTTTGGTTGTGTAGTTGTGTGGTGCTACAAGAGGAAAAACCCAAGCCAGCTATTACTACAAATACACAACTATAGTGTAATTATGTTCAGTAATTTGACTTAATATGTGTGGGGATTAAAAGTCATCAAATGGAATAGTTTTTCAAAGAAAAGGGAGTTTTTTGAACTTACTGCAATTCATATATGTATTTATATTCACATTTCAGATTTAATCTTATTACAGTTTTTCTCTTGTTACTGTTTCGAAAACTAGTTAAATGAACTGACATAATATGCCTGGGTTTCTCTGGAAATATTGGGTTATGTGTCTGAGCAAGGTCATTTTATTTGTTATTCTACTGTGCCATGGTAGTATTTAGATGCTAAGAGTTCAAAGTCCTATTGTGTATGGCACTTCTGCTAATGCTGGGAGGCAGTGTTATCTAGTTGTCATTATCAGTGCAGACAAGGTAGATACAAGTGAAGGAAAATAAGGTAATGCAAAATTATTTGCTCAGTTGCTCATATATATGTTCCTATATCATATATAGTTATTTATAATTCAGGTGCAAGGTCGTACTCCTGAGTCAGGGCAATCCCAATCACAAGTACAAGCTGGAGGGAGAATGGATCAAGACTAGCACTGGGGAGAAACACTTGAGGGTATGTGTGAACAAAAAGCTCAGTATGAGCTGGCAATGTGCACTTGCAGCCAAGATATCTGGCTCTGTCCTGGGCTGCACCAAAAGCAGCAGAGCCAGCAGGTCAAAGGGTTTGATTCTGCTCCTCTGCTGTGCCCTTAAGGGACCCTACTGGAACACTGCATCTGGTTCTGGAGCCCCCAGTGCAAGTTTTGTTGGAATGAGTCCAGAGGAGGACCATTAAGTTTATCAGAGGACTAGAACACCACTCCTATGAAGACAGGCTGAGAGCTGGGGTTTTTCAGCTTGCAGAAAGCTCCAGAGAAACCTTACATCACCTTTCAGTACCTAAACAGGGCTTACAATAAGTTTGGAGGGGGAATTTTCACAAGTTCAGCTTTGAGCTGAACTGAGGGTAGGCTTGGATCAGATAATAGGAATAAACTCTTTACTCTGAGGGTGGTGAGGCACTGGCACAGGTTGCCCAGATAAGCTGCGGATGCCCCATTCTTGGGAAGGTTCAAGGTCAGGCTGGACAGGGTTCTGAGTAACCTGGTCTAGTGGAAGGTGTCCCAGCCTATATCAGGATGGTTGCAGCTTGATGATCTGTAAGGTCCCTTCCAACACAAACCAGTCTTTGATTCTGTAATCATTACATCACATACTAGTGAAACTTCAGCTGTATATTGTATTTTATTGTGTCTGCAAAAATCTACTAAAAACTTCTAGCTGCACAAAGTAAAATGGGGAAAGTAGGTCATGATAGTTTTTCCCCCCCCGGGGATTTTAATCACTTTTAATACTTAGTTACTGTATCTGAATTAAGCAAATTGTAAAGAAACATACAGCTTCAGTCGGAAACATTGTTAAACTGTGCTTATTAAATTATTGATGTACTTTCCTCAGTGGAAGTCAGGCCTTCATCTGCAGGACAGCAGCTGCTCTTTGCATGTTTACAGATAACACACTCTACAAACCATGTGAGCCCTATTATCTAGGCAGAGGTGGTCAAGTACAAGACTGAGTTTTCGGTTTTTTTGGGGGTTGGAGAGAAGCCCTCTGCTGTTTGAATGTCATTTTTCCTGGGAATTGTACAGAATACTGAGCACAATCACTTGCCTTGTGAAAGAACTATTTTTCACTTCAGAAGAGAAAGAAATACATGAACTTTTTTGTACTTGATGTTAATTTTTCCATGTTTATGTTTGCTGTTACTATGCAACTAATTAGTGTATTAATTTCACAAAAATAAATGTTAGCTTGTTTTTCAGTGGATATTTTATGAATTAAGTAAAACTTATGCAGTGGTTCCATACTAGTGTGCTCTGATACAGAAAATCAATAGTATATCTTAGTTACCATTGTTAAATTCTATTTGGGACCCCATGATCAGGGGCAATTCCTGAGTTGCAGTAGTGTCTCTTTAGTGCCTTTCTAGCACTGCAGTCTCCTGGAAGATTTTTCCAGGGTGACCTTAAGTGCACCTTCCCCATCAGCAATGCAGCTGGGAAGGAGGGTGCAGAAGAGAGAATAATTGTGTACTTCCCCACAGTGACCAGGAACAATGAATGGAAGAGATGTTGTACTGAGTCACAGCTGAGTGTTACAATGTGTGTATGCTGCCATGGTAAAGACAATGAAATGTCATTTTTTTGTCCCTAGCTGTGCATGAGGCAAGTACTGCTTTGTTCTGGAACAATGATATATCAGTCTTGTGTAACTTTGGGTTCTTCAGCTGGCATGTAAAAGCGAAATGGAAATGTTTCTGGGAGGGATGGTGTGTTAATTAGAGGTAAAATGTATCTCACTGAAATTTAAGTTCATGCTCTGAACTCAGTGTTCTGCCTCCCTCTGTAGGGCTACCCTCTCTGCTAGGGCAGTATTATCATAAGAGGGCAGATTACTGTATTCTAAGATAAATGCTTAAGCTGTGTCTGAAGTGTCCCAGAAGCATTTACAAATTGCCAGGCCAAGGGATGAATCCCAGCAGTGTCTCAATGTGTGTTAAGAAAAGATGTTGCAATTCTTGCTGTCCACACATGCAGAACTGCAGTGCTGGATGAGGGCTGCTCTGTGTTATGGTGAGGTCCATTGAGTGGGATGATAGACAGCTGCAGATCTGTCTACAAGGAAGACCCAGCTTTCTGGGATGAGTCCAGCTGCTTCTCTTCCTTGTCCAGAGTGAAGGCTAATCCCACCTCTCCATGAGACCAGCTGTGTTGAGTTGGTGGCTCTGGTGCATAGAGCAATGCTCCCAGACACAAATGCTACAGACCCAGAGGGTCACCATGTGATTCCTGTAGATATCTGCCAGATGAAGGCTGTCTGTGGAAGTGCATGTCTTCAGAGCGATAATTTGTCCTTCTGAAAAGATGCTTTAGTCTTGGCTGGCAAATTTTGAATACACTGATCCAGCCCTTTGTCTGGCTGAACATCCATGTACCAGCACTGATTGATTTTAAGCATTTCCTTTCCTGATTTTGAGCATTGTGCTTTGTTCTCAAGAGAAGCTCAGCCTGATGCATACGATGAAAACAGCAGCTGATGGATTGTCATGGAATAGTGGGGCGGGGGAGGAAGGGGTTTTTTATAAGGGGCCTTCCCAGGAGATGGCAGCCGAGAGATGGCTGAGCTCAGGTGCTGCCCAAGCTGGCAAATACAGGCCCTCACTTTGGCTGTTGCTCATGAAAGTGGCACTGCGGCTCTCAGGAATGAAGCCTTTAGATGCTCAACTTTGAACTAGATGTTTGGCCTTTCGCTCTGCTCACTTTATGCACAGCTGTTCCAACTAAGTTGTAGTTTTATAGAGTAGCACATTCATTTGTTGCTTCAGAAGCATTAAAAGGAAGAACTGGTAAATCTAATCATTAACAAATTAGATGTTAAAGCAGACAGTGCTGCCCTTTCCCTTTTAAAATGCTGTGAAAAATAGCCTTGAGCATTAAATGCCATTAAATACAATTAACTGTCCTGTAGAGGTGATTGAAAAGAGTTCAGAATAGACTGATGACTATAAATTACCAGTTTCTTTGAGCACCTTAGGCCAGTTTTTTGAAAAACAAACACACCATAAAGTTTGATTGTAACAACTTACCATAATTAGCACCCTGATCTATCTTTGTAGCAGTTCTTTCTATAAAAGTTCCATTTTGACTATTTTAAGAGGCAAGTACATTTTAAAAACTGCTAGCATACTAAAACCTGTGATTGCATACAAATAATTGACTGATTAACTGAGAACAAAAAGGTTCACTTAAAATGTAGGACTCAACTTTTTTAAAGCTATGAAAATGTACACTTCATTTACTTTCACAGGCAATAAAAAATTGAGGTAATTAGCTATAGATTTTGAGATGCATTTTCATACCTTAATTCTTTTAGTCTTTAATTTGCAATCTTTTGTTGTAGTTCCGTTTTGGATGGGCTTTAACCCCAGTCAGCAACTCAGCCCCACCCAGTCATTCACTCACACTGCCACTAGTGGAATGGGGGAAGAGAATAGGAAGAGTAAAAGTGTGAAGTCTCATGGGTTGAGATGGAAGTTTAATAGGGAAAGTAAAAACTGCTCATGCAAGCAAAGCAAAACAAAAGAATGCATTCACCACTTCCCACTGGCAGGCAGGTTGAGTCAAACTCAGAAAAGCAGAGTTCCATTGCATGTGACAGTGGCGTGGGAAGACAAACACCAAACACTCCGACTGCCTGTGGTCAGTTGTGGGCAGTTGTCACATCTCTGTCCTTTTCCCACTTTCCTGTGCACCCCCAGCCTCCTCACTGGTGAGGTGGGGTGAAGAGCAGCAAAGGCCTTGAACCTGTGAGCACTGCTTACTGACAGATAAAACATCCCTGAGTTATCAACAGTTTCCAGCAGAAATTCAAAACACAGCCCCATACTAGCTACTGCACCTCTGCCCCAGTCAAAACCAGCACATACATAAGTCAGTATATAAGGAATCTAGCTCGTAATTCTGCAAACAATTAAGACTTGCTGAAAGACGGAACTTTGTGCCTTAAGATTTGGTTCATCTGATATTCTGTGATGGAAGTGTCAAAATTGGTAGCCTGAAACCTAAGTGTTTATGTACCACTGGTAAAAGTATGGAGTAATTGAAAGTGGAAATTTAAAGCTATGTAAAAATGTGTAGTTTTCAGGTGGTACTTTTTGACAATATTGTCTTCCTGTCATCTTTCTATTCATAGCCAAGTTCCTCCCTCTCTTCTTTTGCCACATTGTTCCTGTTGAAAAGTTGAACTCAGCTTTTCCAACATATGGTGGGGTATAGCCAGAGCCAGAGTTGTGAAAAGCTACTGCTGACCAATTCTGTAAATAGATAAAGTGCAGAGACTAGCAGAATGGGATGTGATTTTAGATAGCAGTGATAATAAGCCCATGTTTATAGGAAGGCCTGGCCATGGTAATGTTTTAACACCATCTACTCAGCTAGAGCTTTACAAATATTTTGCGCTTAGGTGAGCTGGGTTACAGTACAGTACAACTTACTGGTTATGTTTCACTCTGGACTGTGATCTGCAAGACTTCAGGTGCAGTGTCTTTGTCTACCTAGCAGAGTCATCCCCTCAGGTTCTCACTGTGTGCTACTGGGACAAAGCCATATTTGGCCCCATTTTATGCAGGGCTTTTCCAGTAGCATTGGTTCTCTTTAGGGTGCTGTGTAAAAATAAATGAGTCTGTGTTCAGCAGTAGTCTTGGGTTTTATTGCAGTAATGCTGTTAGGCCCTCAGACAGGCCACCACAGTGATACAGTCCCTGCTCCCACAGAGCTTACATGCTAGCTTTTAGAAGTCAACTTTATTATAAACACTCTCGTATATTCCAATTTTATACATAGGCTCACATGAAACCTACTCAGATTTTGGACTTGATTCTAGTACTTCAGGAAATCAGCAGCTAGATTTCAAGACCAGAATCAGATATAACTTGAGTTTGCTGAAGGTATTACTGACTTTTTTTGCTGCAAGCACAAACAGAAGTACATGCTGAAGCTGAAAATTTCAGGGTATTTAAAACATGCTGCTTTAAAAAAGTAAACTTAAAAGGAAAAAACAAACCAAACCCTTGCACAAAATACAAAATATACATAATATTTCCAGTATTATTTACGGTTGTGCCAACTTAAAAGTGCAATAGACTTACCCATTACAAAAACTGAATATCCATTTAAGTATTAATTGTAAAAGAAAAATAAACTAGTAACTTGGAGTGGTTAGGTTAGAATACAAAAACCTTACCCATTGCTATGTCTCCCTTTTATTTTGGAAAAGCAGTATTGTGTCCAGGCTGGGAAGGAGAATTATATTGTCCATGTCAAACTATAACCCAGTGAAGGCTAGTGAATTGAATCATTGCTACCTGATTGATAAACTGTTAAATCCCCAAAGAAGATGCATATTGGATATTGACCTGTACTTCCCACTGAATGCAGAAGAAGGAAATCTGGGTCAAGGCCTGAATTGCCTGGTAGGCAGCACCAGAAATTGAAAATTCTACCATCTGGTGTATTGTGAAATTCCCTCTCTGCTCTGGAGTGCATGACCCTGATTATGTAGGAACTTCCCACATACATGGCTGTAGGGGTTATTTTTTTCTGCACAAGTTTATATAAGAATTGAGGCAGACAAATTTTTTCTTTCTACTCTCAGAGCATTTGCTCTCAAAGTTTATAATTACAAGTCAGGAGCTTATTCTTTAGATTTATGCAATTGATATTTTTTTCCCACTTTTTAAATATTTGTTTTGGTCACAGACTCAGCTGATGGCAATAATCTCTTGTTTGATAATTGATATAAGAATCTGAATTGTTTTTCAGAATGTTAGAAAAACCGCAACAAAATGTCCCAAAACATAACATTTCATAGATACAAAATAAATTCAAAACATATAAAACTACACTGAGCATAATCCAGCTGTTGCTGCAAATGAAGCTGTTATTTGCCAAAGAGATGGTTGGCTTTTGACTGATTAGCTATTAAAAAAGACTGAGTAAAACTTTCAAACGTGCTTAAGCCTAGTCCCTCAAAAAATAATGGAAAAGTGCCTAAGCATAATTACAAGCCAGCTTTGGGGGGAAGAAACCATGACTTCGTGTTCTCAATCAGGCACATTTGCATGTTTTACTCTTCAAGTAAATCACCTCAAGTTGGAGACAATCTCACTTGCATGGCAGCATGCATACAAAAAACACACACATCTTCTCTCATAATCAATTTTAAGTTTAACTGACAGGCATGAGAGAGAAAGGCAAGCAAAAGGCCAA